AATTATTTAAGGGACAGCTATACACAGACCAATACAGATATTTTAAGGATCTCAGAGGGAGGGGAAAAGAGGAGAGAATTTTTTTTTTAAGATTTATTTATTTTTATACAAGAGCTGGGGTACAGGCCAGAGATGCAGGAAGGTGAGCGGATTCCCCAGAGACAGAGTGGGGAGCAGAACAGACAGATGACCAAAATACACTGCTGAAGGGAGCAGCGGGCAAGACAGGAGAGGTCTGCCATGCCATGTGGGTATCTCCCTGGCCAGCCAAGAATCGAACCAGCTCTGCAAAGGCTGTGGACAGTTTCACAGCACTGCACTCAACCTGCTGCACCACCAGGGAGGCCCAGGGGAGAATTTATACAAGGAAATGATGGCTGAAAATTTCCCTGTCTTGGGGAAAGACAGACATTCAGATCAGGAAACCTAAAAAGTAGCAAAGAGGAGGAATCCAAAGTGATCCAATGTGAGACACATTATAAGTAAATTATCAAAAGCTAAACACAAAGAGAGGATCTTAAAAGAAGCAAGAGAAGAGCAATTTGTTATGTACAAGAATACTCAAGTATGAATTTAAGCAGATTTTTAAGCAGTACCCTTTCAGGTACAAAAGAAAGGGGATTTTATATTCTAAGAGCTGAAAGAAAAAAAAAATGCCAATCAAGATTACACCACCTGGGAAACCAGTCCTTCAGAATCGAAGTAGAGATAAAGAGTCCCCTAGACAAGCAAAAACTGAAAGAGTTCATCAACATAATTACTAATAAGGAGAATGAATCAGTAATCAAAACTTTCTGGCAAAAATAATCCTAGGACTATGTGGTTTCTTTTGAATTCCACCAAATCTTTAAGTACTGATCCTCTTCAAATGCTTACAAAAATTGAAGAAAGCAATTCCAAACTCATTTTAGTAGGGCAGCATCACCCTAATATCAAAGTCTGAGAAGCAGAATCCAATATCCCTGATGAACCAACACAGCTAAAATTCTTAACAAAATATTAGCAAACTGAATTCAACAGCACATTAAAATCATATACACCATCATCAAGTTTAATATATCTCTGGTTGCAAGGAGGGTTCCACATACACAATTCAATAATACACCGTATTAACAAATGAGAAATAAAAAGCTTATGATCATCTCAACAGATGTAGAAAAAGCATTTGACAAAACAAATATCCTTTCATGATTAAAAACTCTCAACAAATTGGCTATAAAAAGAATGTAGTTTAACATAATAAAGAACACAATTAAAGATAATCAAAAGTGAAAAGTTGAACTTTTTCCCTCTAAGGTCAGGAGAAAACTACCTGCCCACTCTAAGCACTTCTATTCAACATGGTACTAGATTTGTCTTGGCCAAAACAATTAACAAGGAAAAGAAAGAAAAGGCATCCAGATTGGAACAGAAGAAGTAAAATTGTGTTTGCAGATGATATGCTGTTTTTTACAGAAAAGCATACAGACTCACCAAAAAACTGTTAGAACTAATAAATAAACTCAATAAAGTTGCAGGAAACAAAATCAATACACAAATACCAGATTTTTTTTTATGTACTAGCTATCAACTATTAGAAATATTTTAAAAATCAAATTTAAAATAAAATAAAAACAATATTTAGGAGTCAATTTATGACAAAGGAGCCAAGAATATTCAGTGGAGAAAGGATACTCCATTCAATAAACGTATTGGTGAAACTGGATAGCCATATGCAAGAGAACCAAATCAAATCACTATTTACTCACTATAGAAAACTGAACTCAAAATGTGTTAAAGATTTCGATATAATCTGGTAACCATAAGACTCCTAGAAGGAAACATAGTGGGTAAGCTTCTTGACATGGGTCTTGAAAATTTGTTTTTGGACTTGATACCAAAAGCAAGGACAGAAAATAAATAAAAAATAAAAAAGTCAGAATACATAAATTAAAAAGATTTTGCACAGCAAAAGAAATGATAAACAATGACCAAAAAAAAGGCAACCTACGGAATGAAAGGAAAATTTGCAAAGCACACATATCCAAAATATACAAGCAGCTCATATGGCTCAATGGCAAAAAAATAATAAAAATAACCCCAATAGGGAAAAAATGAACATGACCTAAGTAGACATGGTCACAAAGAAAACAAAATAAATAGTCAACAGGTACGTGAAATAGTGCTTAACATCACTAATCATGAAGCATTGATTTGATGAGATACTATCTCATGCCTAATAGGATGTTTGTAATCAAAAAGGCAAAAGAAAATATTGGCAAGAATTTGTTTTAAAAGCAAACATCTTACACTGCTGGTAGTGATAAAAACTGGTACAGTCAGTCTGAAAAACAGTATTGAAGTTCTTCAAGGAATTAAAAATAGAACTACCAGAACTACCACTAATCCTGCTTCTACATCTGAGTGTGTGTTTGTGTGATGTGATATATATGTGTAATACATATACACATATACATGAACTCAATAAAGTTGCAGGAAACAAAATGAATACAAAAATATCAATTTTGTTTTTATACACTAGCTATCAACTATTAGAAATATCTTAAAAATCAAATTAAAAATGAAATCAAAACAATATTTAGGAGTCAATAAATTTATGACAAAGGAGCCAAGAATATTCAGTGGAGAAAGGACAGTCCATTCAATAAACTATTGGTGAAACTGGATATATATATATATGATGGGATACACACATATATATACAAGTGTGTATATATAGATATAAATACTTGGATCTATACAGATATATATATATTGGGATATAGATATACAGAAGTGGAGGAAACTGGTCAAAGGTTACAATATCCAGTAATAAGTTCTGGGATCTAGTGTACAAAAAAGTAAGTTAATAATCTGATATAGGGGCCTTCTGGGTGGCAAAAGGGGTTGAGCACAGTGCTGTGGGGCTGTCCGTAGCCTCTGCAGCGCGAGTTCAATCCCTGCCCAGGGAGGTACCCATAGGGCACAGCAGACCTCTCCTGGTTTGCCCACTGCTCACCTCAGCAGTGTACTTCCATCTATCTGCCTGTTCTGTTCCCCACTCTGTCTCTGGTAGATCCTCTCACCTCCCACACCTCTGTCCTGTACCCCAGTCCCTGAAAAAGAAAAAAAAAAAACTGATATACCTGAAAATTCCTAAGAGAGTAGATCTTAAATTGTGTCACTACCAAAAATAAAAATTGTAAATAGTGAGGAGATGTACCTGTTAACTAATGCTATTGTGGTAATTATTTCACAATATTATATACATTAAATCATCACAATGTAATGTACACTTTAAAATTAAAATTTGAAAGTGAGGAACAATCAAAAAAATTTAAGTGAAGAAATAGAAAATCTAGTATAGAAAACATCTCCATATTTAAAAAAAATTAACCAGATTTTAAGTATCTAAAAAAGAGAGAAATATTTATTTAAAATTTTAAATTAATTCAGGAATGTTTCCAAAAATGCTCAATCAAGAAATCTAGAATAAATTTTCTCAACTTCAAACCTGGTACATAAAAAGTGTGCTTACAAAAATTATCATAAATTTCTGAAAAACTCACTTTAGGGGACTCCCTGGTGGCGCAGGGGATTAAGCACCGCACTATGATACAATCCACAGCCTCTGCAGTATGAGTTCGATCCCCGGCAGGCCAGAGAGCAACCCACATGGTGAAGCAGATCTCTCCTGTCTCCCCCACTGGCTCCCCTCAGCAGTGTTCTTTGGTCAATCTGCCTGTTCTGTTCCCCACTCTGTCTCTGGTGAAACCTCTCACCCCCCTGCATCTCTGGCCTGAATCCCAGCTCTTGTATGCATAAATAAATAAATCTTTAAAAAAAACTCACTTTAAAACATGGTATGGTTTTAATTACATAGATAATAAAGAATAGGAGGAAAAAACAATTATCAGTTGTAGGGCATCAAAGCTCAGAATTACCAATCTGGAGTTTTCACTAAACAGAGAAATATACTAACAAATTTTAAAATTTTTTAAAGAATTATCTCATATTTTCAGTACTCTGAATTGTAGCTAGACAATATTTTTCCAAAATTTGCTATAACCATTTAAAATCAAAATAGCCTTTAATAACTGTCTTGGGCCTTCCTGGTGGGGCAAGGGGTTAAGGTGTAACCTATGAAGCTGTCAGCAGCCACTGCAACATGAATTCAATCCCCAGCCAGGGAGCTCCCCACATGGCGCAGCAGACCTCTCCTGACTTGCCCGCTTCCCCTAAGCAATGTATTTCAGTTGATCTGTCTGTCCTGTTCCCCACTCTGTCTCTGATGAATCCTCTCACCTCACACACCTCTGGCCTATGTCTCAGTTCTTGTATGCATAAATAAATCTTTAAATAACTGTCTTGCAATAATCCATAATTATTTTTGTAAAATGTCAATAACTTATACTACAGCAATTCAACATTATCTTCATCACAAGTTCAGAGTGCAAAAACCAAGTTAAGCTTCCAAAGTACTGATGACTTGAAACAAAATTAAAACTAAATAGGAATATGCTGTCAAGGTCATTTAAGCTTATTTTTCTCTTTGCACACCCTTTAAAATGCTTCATCCATGGTTGTCTTCATTGATATGAAAATTTTTACAAAGAAAGTTTGCCTATCCTGACATTAAAATGTAAAATGTGCAATGAGGTAGGGAAGATAACAGACTGAAAACAGAAAAGAAGTGCTTACCTCAGAATCAGGTAGACAGAAAATAGGAGAGATGATAAATTATAATGAGAAAGCGTAACTTTAGATGTGTGACCAAAATTCAAGAAAATTAAAGTAGATGACAGAACTGCAGAATAACAACAACAAAAGAAAATACATTTTCTTCTATAATATATATGTACTTTAAAGGGAATGTGGAGAAAAAGAAAATATGATTATAAAGTATACTTTACCCTTGTCAACAAGGTATAGGGTAGAAGGAATATTTTAAGTAATGACTTCAATCACAAATTTGCTTCATTTCAAAAGAGGTATTTTATAAAATACTCTAGATTTGAATGAAAATAACAAGTAATTTTAAACCACTAGTTTTTATTGTTGATTTTCCAATAAGGCGTGCAATCCACCCCTTGGGGTTTCCTTTCATTTCCCTATTCACAAAACTACTTCCAAGTACCTACAGCCCTTTTCTAAAGTATGTACTTCCAGAACTCCCTAGCTTGTGACTGCTAGCTTAGTTGAGACCTGATTACAACTGAGGAGAAGGCCCTTATTGTAGTTCTATTTCAATTACACCCTCTATTTCAATAATAGAAGGCTGATCTTTCTGGATATTGGATGAGTCTTCAGGAGGAAGATCTGGTTCTACAGTCTCTTCAGATTTTTTCTCAGGTTCCAAAGACAATGGCTCTAACTTTATCACTGGGACATCCATGGTCTGGAGAGCCTTTAATTCAGTAGAATCATTATCTACCATAGTCTCATCCACAGGGCTTTGTTCAAATGGTGGAGGCTGAACTTCAGGATCTGTTATAGGTACTTGTGTAATATTGGTCTCTTCAGATGATGGAGGCTGTTCATCAATAGGGTCCTTTTCTGCAGTAATTCCTTCACTTTCTGGAGGCTGCTCTTCAGTTGGGGCCTCCTCAGATGCCAGAGGGTGAAGTTTAATAGGGGCTTCTTCAGCGGGTGTCTCTTCATCTGGTGAAGACTGAACTTCAGTTGGTTCCTCCTCAGCTACTGGTGTTTGAAGTTCATCAGGGGTCTCTTCAATTGCTGAAAGATGAACTTCAACTAGGGCCTCTCCAAGAACCCCTTCAGGTGGTAGAGACTGAACTTCAGCTGAGGCCTCTTCTTCCTCAGCTGGGAAAGGTTGAACTTCATCTGGGGCTTCTTCAGGAGGAAATTCCTCAGCTGGTGTTTCTTCAGCTCGTGGAGATGGAACTTCAGCTAGTGCCTCTGCAGCTTCTTGAGGTTCAACTTCAGCTGTGGTCTCTTCTTCAGGGGCCTCCTCGGCTGCTGGAGGCTCAACTTCAGCTGGAGTCTCTTCTTCACGGTCTTCCTCAGATGATGGAGACTGAGCATCAGCTGGAGTCTCTTCTTCAGGGGACTCCTCAGCTGAGAGAGACTCAACTTCAGCTGGGGTCTCTTCTTCAAGGGACTCAGTTGAGGGAGACTCGACTTCAGCTGGGGTCTCTTCTTCAGGGGACTCCTCAGCTGGGGAAAACTGTACTTCAACAGGAGACTCTTCTGTAACAAACTCTTCAACAGGGGCAATTTTTGCAGGAGTAACAAACTCTTCAACAGGGGCAATATTTGCAGGAGTCTCCTCAGTTGCAGAAGTCTCCTCAGTTGATGGAGGCTGAAGCTCAGCAAGTATCTCTTCTTCAGTAGTTTCTTCAGCTGGTAGAGACTGTACATCATCAGAGGTCTCCTCTGGAATAGGACCGTATACTCCATCTGCAATGTCTTGTTCGAGTTCTGATTGTATCTGAGTATATTTTTTGGTTTCTTGACTAAATGATCCCATAATACTTCTCCGTCTAATTTTTTCCTTACTACTTGTTGCTGATTGAGATTCAGACTTTTCACTAATAAAAATCTCCCCTGAGGATTTGTGTATCTGCATACTTTCCCTTGACTTTAAGAAAGAACTACCTGGCCTTCCAATCACCACTATTTCTGATTCACTAAAGTATGTCTGCTGTTCCTTGTCATGTTTTTCAATGCACGGGATAATCACCATTGTCCAGTCTCCAGTACAACTGGTCTGCTGAGATCTGTCTATTTTGAGTTGAATTGAGTGAGTGAGTGGGGGATTTTCTACTTCCTGAACACTTCTTGGAATTTCAGGGGCTGCTTCTCCAACAGCAGCCCATTTTTCTTCAGATAAAACTGTTTCACCAAACAATTTGCTTTCTTCTTTTTTCTCTTCTTTAATGCTGTCTGTCTGCAGAGAAACATCAGTCATTTCCTGTCCATACTTTCTCTTTGTCCAACTTTTCTGAATCTGAGAAGATAATCTAAGAGAATCATATTTTGCTTTGCTTCCAGAAATATTATCAATACTATGGGTAGCTTTGGGGATAGGTAATTGTGATGCAGGCAAGTGTCTCTTTTTCTCTGTCACTTCAGTCTGCTGGGATTTGTCTACCATTGGTTGACTGGGTTTTCTTCTCTTTCGAAATTCTTGCCTCCGTGCTGAGATAGGCTGATCAGGTTCATCACTTTCATCCATTTCTAAGACTGTTGAATTTCAAATTCATTGATTTTCAAGTAATTAATTAATTAGACTCATGAATGCATCAGAGCGTTAAGCCTTTACCTTTCCTTCATAAAGTGTTATGCTCCTTCAGAAAAAAATAGCTAATGAATTACTGCATTCTGTACTACACCCTGTTGGATCCCACCTTACCCAGTAAGCATCTTTCTGTTTAGTCTCTGGCATGACTAAATCCCAGTTCTAGAAGTTTACCTCAATGTCTATGACATCACAGTCAACTCTCCCTACAAGGTTCCATTGGTGATATTCACAGCACTTAAAAAAAAGTTATTGAAATAATGTTATTGGTAGTACCATTTAACTAGGAAAATAATCATGAAAAATGGCTAGAAGTGAGAGGTCTACTATTTGAAATATCAAGTATGTAAGAGTATTTTCTATCAGGGAAACATCAAGTAAACTCCAATGATGTTGCTTGCTAATAGTTGAAATTAATGCTTTTGAATTTTCACCTTTGTTCTTTGTATCGTACTATCAAAGAGAGTTATAATTCCAAGCTTGGAATATTGCAGCTATTTTCAACTGATAACATTTGTGCTGATATTCTAGGTATGTTTATATGATTTAAACATTAATATTGCTTGAAAAACGAGTTCTGAGATCTATATTCATGTAAGCACATTTCCTGTGTCCTTAGCTTTCAGAAACCACAAGAACCCACTTTTGGGTGTATGTGTAGATGTTTATATGTAGCAAGTTTGTCTTTGAGATATTTTTATTTTAAACTATTCAGAATTCTAAAAATTTGCCAAATAAGAGAATACTGAGTCTAAAAATTTGGCAAATGAAATCAAATGCATTTGTTGATCCAGTTACTATATGCTCTGTTAAATAAACATGCTGGAATAAATTCCCCAATGAATAAATATTTTAAATTGAAGCTTTGAAAAAGAGGAACCCTGCTTAAACAAACTATGAATGGTATTATATAAAATTTGAAATATTAATGAAACTTTATCTTAAATAACACACAAAAATTTTACTAGAGAGATGGAGACTAGTCAAAAGATGCACAAAAATATTTTTTCCTTAGTTTAAGGTAAGTTAAAGAGGAAAGCTTAGACTTTGAAAATGCTGTCACACGAACAAAGTAATAATATATCCAAACAATCATTATGGCTGTTACCATGGGAATAGTTTCGATTTCTTTATGCTATGTGGCCTCTCTACCACTTAGGGCCTCTGCCCCTGTGTGTGTATGGCCTCTACACTTCTGTGTGAGTAAAAGAACTGGGTAAGACCTCCTGCATGACTGCCTTTAAATAATGGTCCACATCATGAGGCAGCCGGTGACGCCTAGGTAGCCGTTTGACTGATTGTGTGGCCATGGTCTGAGGTGGTCTGTGAGCAGCTTGGGAATTACACCAAGTACCTGCATGAGAAGTCCTCCCGTATATGTGGCCGACATGTCCCTTCCTGCTCCCATAAAGTTGATTATCCTTTGTCTCCCCTGGACCCTGCTTCTCCTGCCATTTTCATATAATTAAACATACTTGTTCATTACTGCTAATAAAAAGCAAGAGTGCTGCTCAAGGGGGCAGCAGAGTCTTGCCTTGCAAACCTGCTCCACAACTCATCCCTCAAACGTGTCCCCAAAAAATGTGGTGACACACTCCTGACCACCAACACTGTATTGATTCTGGACATAGAAAAATGCCATTGAATAATTCCCCTTGTTTGACATGTACTAGTCATAATTTTAGCTAAGTCACTTCAGCCAAATAAATGAGTACTTTACACATTCTTTGGCCCAGTCCCTAAAATAGGCTCTCTCTCTCATGGCAGGGATTAGTGACTATTTATTGAGTATAAATTGGATGAATGTTATTAGAAACCATGCTGTTTATTATACATCTCAACCTGTTCTGCTTTCACTTTTGTTTATTCTACTCTTCTGTGTTCTTTGGGTTTTTTGTTATTGTTGTTGTTTTTTAAGATTTATTTATCTATACAAGAACTGGGATACAGGTCAGAGGTGCAGGGGGTGAGAGGAGTCACCAGAGACAGAGTAGAGAACAGAACAGGCAGAATGACTGAAATATACTGCTGAGGAGAGCAGCGGATGAGACAGGAGAGGTCTGCTGCGCCATGTGGGTAGCTCCCTGGCTGGCCAGGGATCAAATTTGTGCTACAGAGGCTGAAGATAGCTTCACAGTGCTGTGTTTAACCCCTTGTGACACCAGGGATGCCCCTTCTGTGTTCTTTGTAATATTTAATCAAGCAAAGTAAAATAATAGTCATTTACCAAAGCAAATGACATAGGTACTCATCACACCTACTCTATTAGAAAACTATGTTGTTTATCAACATCTTTGTGATCTGGTGTCCCTCTAAATTGCATCTGTCAAACACTGCATTTGTACTTTGTAATCAAGTTTCTGAAATTTCATGTAATAACTTCAAAGTCTATTTTGAGTCAATTCATAACAAGAAATCACTGTGAAAGCAACATTATACTAACTGGGTTACTATGAAGAGAAGTGTCATTTTGGAGTGTAATTTTGCTATCACAAGTTAGATTTTACCAATCTTTTTGTAGACATAAACTGAATTTTCTATTCCAATTAAATTTTCAATTTCCACTTCTTTGATATTTAGGATTTTCCTTCTGCAAAATAATGAAGAACCTGATCTTTCTTAATTGATCTTAATTATGCACCAGACTTACAGTAAATTGCCTTTTGCTACTAGCTTATTCATAAAAGCAAATTAGCATGCCTAAATAATCAATCAATTACAAATTTACTTGAGATTTCAATTAAAATTATGTGAGCTACCATGGAGCAGTTTCTCATCATACTTCTTAACATCAATAAATGTTCATTTTTGTCCTGCTGATTTATCTAACCAACTAATCATTACTTGATCTAATGGGCTTCGTGTTTTACCCTTTGTTCTGAAATCTCACATAATTTAGCTCTCCTATTCAATTGGCTCACATCTAGTATGGTTTGAATTGATATGTTGAAGTCCTAATCCTCAGTACCTGTGAATGTGACATTCAGAAATAGGGTCTCTGTAAAGGAAATTGTGTTAAGATAGTGTCCTTATGAGAAAAGGAAAATTTAGAAACAAAATGACTCAGAGGGAAGATGACCATGTGTAATGGAGGCAGAGATGGGAGTTATGTTGCCACTAAGCTACCAGAAACTGGAAGAGGCAATAAAGGATCTGACCTTGGAGGTTTGAGTGGGATGGTCCTGCCAAAACCCTTAAACTAGGACTTCAAACCTCTAGAACTGTGACAGAATAGTATCTCTTGTTTTAACCAACCTGGTCATATTTTCTTTCGGCAGTTGAAAGAAAATAATACAACATCTTTTCATAGTATAGTAATGCAAGCTGTACTTCTCACTCTCTCAAACACTAAAGCTAGTTTTTTTAATTATGGCTTCAGGTTTGGCATTTAGTTTAATACAATATTTGATCCATTACTATAATCATAAAACTAGAGATATTTCCTGAAAGGGACTTCCTGATGATTTGTATTTAATTTTACCAAAAACAAACATAATGGGTAGCACATAATTTTATTTATAATTGTAATGATATTGAAGCTAAGACTTAGAGAATCAATACAGAACAAATATCTAAATGGTGACCTATGTTGCTTTATTCTTAGCTTAACAGATCAAATAAGATGAAGTCTGGATTCTAGAGAGTTCTTCACTCCTGGATTCTAGAGAGTGATGTCATATTCTCTTGATGTCTCAAAGTACCATGTGGTATAATTTTTGCCAGCCCATTATAATGTTCTAGATATAGATTTGACACCAAAAGCATAGGGGAAAAAAGTAAAAAGAAGCAAGTAGTAGTACACCAACTTAAAAAGCTGTATTGCAGAAGAAACAATCAACAAAATTAAAATACAATCTATGAATACATAATTATATTATATATACATTATATCTAACATTATATTTACATACATGATGGTATATTTTTCCATCTTTTAAAAGAAGAAAGCCCAGTTATCTGTGACAGCATGAATAAATTTGGAGAGCATAAAGCTAAGTGAAATGAACCAGAGAGATAGTGCATAGTGTCACCTGTATGCGAAATTAAAAAAAAAAATCTAGACCTAAAAAAGAAAAATTTGACTCATAGAAACAGAGTAGAGTGATGGTTGCAAGGAATGGGGGAAAAGGAGGGAAACAGGGAGAAAAAAATTGGCAAAAGGATACAAACTTTCAGTTATAAGATGAATAGTATCTGAAGGTCTAAGTTATAGCATGGTGACAACAGTTGATAATACCACTAGTGAATTTAGTTAAAGCATATTCACTGGAGTGTTGAGGTTGAAGCCATATGATGAGTTCTGAGGAAAGGGATAGAATTACTTGTAGATAACATTTACAAAGAGCTTCAGCACAAAGATAATGAAAAAGGATGTTTATTGTCACACTAAGCAATAATTAGATATCTACAATAAGAAAATTACAAATAGTATAGCCTTATTTTGAAATTATGTTACAGTTAAAAATCATGTTAATGAAAAATATATAATAAAAAATGTCCATGGCAAAATATTAGGTGAGAAAAAAGTCAGATTTTAAATTGCATGTATGAGTCTGATTTTTACAAAATTAATATTATACATCATACATTTTATACATTTCTTTATACACATAAAATGCTGTGAGAAAAAAGAGTGGTATAGTTATTATCTAAATATTAATGAACAGATAAAAATGATTTTAATGTTTACCTACTGTTTTCTATATATCTAAATGTTTCAAAATAAATAGTATTCATATATTCAGAGAAAATTAAGAACAGCTATAACAAAGTAATATTCTACAGTCTTTCAAATATATATTATAGGGAATAAAAGACATTTATTACAATTAAAAAGATCTTCAGGATAGCATAGTTCAGTGTAGGCCCAAATCAAAAGTGCCATCAACCCTTACAATTGTTTAATTTCTTCCAACAGTGTTCAGCAAACATACCTATAAATTAATAGACTCAGAGTGATGCAGGCTTGGAGGGTTTGCCAGGGTAGTGGAGTGAAAGAAGTGAATACGAATAAATAAGTTAATTACAACCCAAGATCAGATATGATAGGAAGCAGAAACAAGTAGAAACTGAAATGTAGGGAAAAAAAAAAAAAAAAAAAAGGGAGTAGGGACAGTAAAGGAGTAGTTCAGTAAGCAGGCAAGTGGGAGCAAAGGAGTA